TTCATGTGAGGCTTTATGCTACTATTGCTAAAGTTGGGCTGCATTTAATATTTTTGGTACCCTTTACTGCAGTATGAAATCTGACTCATAGTGACCGTACATGACAGAGTAGGACTGCCCTGTGGGGGGTTCCAAGACTATAAATCTTTACAGAAACCAAGCGCCACACCCATCTCCCTCCCTCCTGTTAGCAGCCAACTGCTGAGCTGTTGTGCCACCACGGCTCCTTCTCAGTCTGCAAACCACCCTCATGTCTTTGGAGCCTCCTTTTCTGTTGCTCCTTAGAGAAAGCTTGTCTGAGACCACTCCCAACTATAGTCCACTGTCCTACTGCTGGCAATGGGCTATGCATTGGACTGTTTTACCCTAATTTATGATGGAGTTTATTGTGGACGCAGTTCTAAACCAAGAGCCACTCCACAGGAGAAGGACGAGGCTTTCTGTTCGGAGGACTTCTCACCAGAATTGTAACCTTCATAAGTCTCGTCATCATGAACAGTGTGAGTTGTGTGGCCACTGTAGTGAATTATGGAACCTAGCTGACAAGCAGCAAGTGCTCTGCGAGAGAGCCCTGTGCGAGAGAATTGGACAGACGAGCTTTAGCAGCGTCGAAGGACCCGCGCAGCAGCAATGAGAACTAAGGCTGGACACAGTAAGTGTGGCCAGACTCTACGGTTTGGACTAGGGGACATTTCACCTTTTCTGTAGTCAGCATAGAAAATTCTGAGAAGGATACAATATTTGCATATACGTCTGTATTTACACTTAGTAGCCAGTGGCTTGTGCTCACCTTGCTTGGACAATGCATAAAAGAAGCGGAAACTTTATAAAGCTCCTATATTCTAATGATGCAGTTCTCATCAAGTTTGAGAAATGTAATTTTATTAATTGATAGTGTCTTACCAGACTATCATCAAATAAAGTCCCAGGATCATTGAAAGCACACACACACATACACAGTTTCACAGGATACAATACAAATTCAAGGTTGATGATGTCTTATTTGCATTCATTAAAAATCTGAGACTGCAGTCAATCTCTAAACAATTGTGTAAAGGGAAAAGGAGAGCACAATTATTTCACAGATTTGGGAATGGCAACTTGAGAAGGCTTTCTTTAGAAGTTATTAAGGTGTATCACAAATCAAGTCACATCCAAACATGGCAACATGGAAATTTACTTAATCAACAATAAAAGCAGAGTGGCTGACAAAGACTGTACACCTTCTTTTTCAACATTATACTAATTTCTATTTTTGGCATGAATTATTAACTTTTTCCATTAGTAGGAAAATGTGTTCTGCAAACTCTCGAATGGCACCACGGCCACCATTGCATTTGCAAATGTACCCAACAGCCTTTTGGGCAGTGGAGCAGGCGTCAGCAGGAACTCCACTTAGGCCCACTTTCTTCAAGCACTCTTCATCGGATACTTCATTCCCTACCAATGAAAGATAAATACCATTTAAACATTTGAAAAGAGAATATTTTTTCAAAGTGAAATAATTCCAACAGCAACCAATAAATAAATCTGGTAACTTTAGTTAGATCAAAGGCCCTGTGTACAAGAATACTTAAGATTAGGTCGAACAAAACAATGATTTCTAAGGCCCCTGGGTAGATGGTACAGAGATGAGTCCCTTGTGTAGAACGCCCCTTGCTTGACTCAGAGACTGACAGGTGAGGTGGCCTTTCTGGGAATGCAGATGAGAATTCTTGGCACTGCAGAAGTATTTTGGACCTACCTCTTCAAGTTTTGTCTCCACAGAACACAGCGGAGCACCCTGGGAGCGAGGTCCACCCCTTGTCCCCTCTAGCTGGTGGGTCTAAGAGGTGGCAGGTGCCTGCTTCCTGTGCTCAGCTCCAGCTCAGCGAGTAGGGCCCCGTTTCTGCTGGCTCAGCAACCCACTGGCTTATCAGACCGAAGTCCAAGTGGAGCCTCAGCCCTGCCCCTGCCTTGCGGACCCCTGGGGGCTGGAGCTCTCAGAGGGCAGAACAGACCCTTCAGAGTTTCTCCCATACCAATCCTCCTTCCCCCACCTCTCCTTGCAGAGTTCAGCTCTAATGGCAGCTGACCAGGGATCCTGCCCAGGGTACCCACCAGGCGCATCTTGAACTCCCTGGGTGCTTCAATAGTGTTTAGTTGTTTCCTGTTTTCTTTGGAGGCAAAAAACCCAATTCTTTCCCCCAAGAATGGAACCAGAATTGTGCCTCAGAGGCTCTCCCCACCCCAGCTAGGCAGCTTTCTGATACTGGGACTTACTGTCCTTAGCAGGACCTTCCCCCAGATTGGAAGTCCCCTATTCCTATAGCCTATTTCCACCCTGAGACCTCGGCGTAAAGGGCGGACAGTACTAGAACTAAATGGTACAGAACCCCAATACGGCTCCCACAATATAACGTGGGACATTTCCCATTGAAAACTGGGATATGGTGTGCCTCAGAAATATGGGCCTTCGGGTTTAAACACAGTAACAGACTGGCCACATTCTACCTATATTATATACAGGGTTGAGAGGTGACTCTGGTAGATTTTTTCTTTCTTTTATATTATTGTATTTTCTTTTTGAAAAAATTATTTTATTTTGTGGGGGCTCTTACAGCTCTGATCACAATCCATACATATACCCATTTTGTCACACACATCTATACATATGTTGTCATCTTTATCAAAACATTTTCTTCTACTTGAGTCCCTGGCATCAACTCATTATTCCCCCCCCCCACCACGCTCCCTTGATAATTTATGAATTTTTTTTCATGTCTTACACCAACTGCTGTCTCATTTCACCTACTTTTCTGCTGTTCGACTCCCTTGGTTTGGGGGTCATCATTGTTCAATGTGATCGGTTACCCCTTACCCTCCTTATTTGTTGCCCCCTTATTAGTCCTGAGGGGTTTATCTGTTCTGGATTCCCTGTGTTGCAAGCTCATACATATCTTTACCAGTATACATGTTCTGGTCTAGCCAGATTTGTAAGACAGAATTGGGGTCATGGTGTGGGGCGGAGTAGCATTAAAGAACTAGAGGAAGATGGTGTGTTTCATCGGTGCTATACTGCACCCTGACTAGCTCTTTTTTCCTTGTGGCCATTCTGAGAGGGGGCGTCCAACTGACAACTGATGGGCTTTGAGTCTCCACTCTGCCCTCCTCATTCCCATTGCTATGCTTTTTGTTTTTGTTTGTTTGTTTTGGGCCTTTGATGCCTGATACCTGATCCCATCCACACCTCATGATCATACAGGCTGGTGTGCTTCTTCCATGTGGGCTTTGTTGCTTCTCAGCTAGATGGTCGCTTGTTTATCTTCAAGCCCTTATGACCCGAGACACTTTTATCTTTTGATAGCTGGGCACCATCAGCTTTCTTCGACTCTGGTAGACCTTATAATATACCTCTCACTTACCCCAAGCACATTACCTCAAAACCCCACTCCCCCCACCCCTGTGAAGCTACTCTCTTATAATCTTCAAGCAACTCCCTCTTCTAATCTATCAAAAATTACTATATCTAACAGGAAGACTTCCTATGATAAATACGATCACTTAAAACCTACTCTCCAACACTGATCTTCTATCTGTCCTGCCCACCCAAATATCACTCCTTCTGGGTCACCATATGATACAACTTCCAGCTCTCATCTGATCCTCCTCTAACCCATTATGGCCCGAAAACAGGAACCAACAGCAGCCACCACACACACACACACACACACACACACACACACACACACACACACACACACTAAGCCAAAGTCAACAACTGATGATTACCCAAACCCAATGAAATGCACAGAAAAAGAAGATCTTAAACTGCCATAAAGAGAATGAGGTTTATGGCCATACACAAAATCAATCCATAAAAGAAAAGAAGAAATTGAGATAATAAAAACCTCATACTCAAAGGAAATCCAGAAATGAAATAACGGGTTAGCAGAGATCATTAACACAGTACAAGGGTTGAGCAATAAAATGGAAGAAAAGCAAAATCGGATCAGTGAACTTGAAGACAAGCAAGCAGACTTCAGCAAATGTGAGAAACAAACTGAAGGGCAAAAGAGCATGAAGACCGCCTGAGGATGATGGGGGTGCCCCAAAGAGAAATAGATAAGGCTCATTGGTATTCTGGAGCACAAGGAAACAAGTCTACAGATAGAATTGTACGGCTTCTTAGAAATGATGCCGATGTAGGGTCACCTGTGAGGTAGGATCACCTGTCGGGAGTTCCTGTTGTGTGATGGGCAGGTCTTCAGGTGAAGAGGCCAATTCGGAGGATTCAGATGTGAGCCCTAGTTTCGAAGCACCAGGGGATCTTTTGTTGGTTTTCCCACAGACAGCATAGCTGTGCCTACCACAACACAAGTTCCCCTGCATTTCCCAGCACCTGACACCTGTGCACCATGTTCCCTTTTGTTGCTCCCTCCCCCTCACTCAAACACCCCATTCTCACACCCTGAAAACCCCCCGCACACCATGTTCCCAGTGTTCCTACTGCCCCAAATCCTCCAAGCCCTTACAACCACTGAACTGCCACCCCTCCCTTGGCGACCTGGGTGCTGGGCTCACCCTGGCATGCCTGCTGGTGCTTTGCCTCCCTGGGAAGTGGGGTACTGACTGTTACCCTCTTCTTGCCCTCTACTGTGGAGATCCACCAGCTTGGGGAGGAGACCCAGGATAGTTTGCCTCTTTAGGGTATCACAAGGACGTCCATGTAGACTTCTGGAGGCCCTGGATGCTGGAGATAGCTCTGGCCTGCAGACCTGAATTGGAAAAACTGATTACCAATTTCATATGTAAAGGGAAGAAGTTTAGAATTAGCAAAGAACTCCTTGAGAAGAAGGATAAAGTCAGAGAGCTTGCTTTACCTGACTTTAAGACCTATTGCACAGCCACAGTGGTCAAAACAGCATGATACTGGTATAATAACAAATACTCAGACCAATGCCCTCTTTAACAAGTGGTGCTGGAAAAAAATGGATATCTACCTGCAGAAAAACAAAGTAAGACCTTTACCTCACTCCATGCACAAGAACTAATTCAAGGTAGATCACAGACCTCAAGGTAAAACCCAAAACTATTAGGGCCATCAACAAAGGTATTGGGACAAGTCTAAGAACCTTGATGCAGGGAATGCATAGGCTAGCAGAAATAGAGAAGGGTACACACCCAGAAGAAGCTGAAATTGACAAGAGGGACATAGGAAACATGAAAAACCTGTGCACATTGAAAGACTTCACAATAAGAGAGCTCATGGATGGGGGAAAGATTTTTAGCAATGACACACCAGACAAAGGGCTTATTACTAAAATCAAAACACTGCTAGCCTGCACTAAGTGGGAAAAAAAACAGCCCACTGAGGAGGTGGACAAAAGACCTGAACAGATGTTTCACAAGAGAGGAAATCTGAATTGCCAATAAGCATGAGAAAATGTTTCAGATCATTAACCATCAGGGAACGCAAATGAAAACAACTTTAACACCTAGCATCATCAAAGACAGTCCAATTCAAAAAATCAGAAAGCAACAAATGTTGGAGGGGGTGTGATTAGATATGAACTATTGGTCTTGTAGGTATGTTCAGGAACTGTAGAAAGTGATTTGGTGATATTTAAAGCATATGGAAATCGAGTTACCTTATGACCCAGAAATACCCCTACTGGGTATATACTCAGAAGAAGTGTAAGAAACAGACAATGGCCAGACATCTGCGCTCCAATGTTCATTGAGGCGCAGTTCACAAATGCAAAGATTTGGAAACAACCTAAATTTCCATCAATAGACGAATGGATTAAAAACTCTAGTACATACACACAATGGAGTATTACATACCCCTAAAAAGCAGTAATGACGTCTCCCTTCACCCACTTTTCGGTTGTCCATCCCCCAGGGCAAGATATGACAAAATAACAATTTATAAATTATCAAGGGCTCATGAGGGAGGGGGGAGCGGGGAGGGAGGGGAAAAATGAGGATCTAATGCCGGGGGCTTAAGTGGAGAGGAAATGTTTTGAGAATGATGAGGGCTATGAATGTACAAATGCGCTTTACACAACTGATGTAGTATGGACTGTGATAAGAGTTGTATGAGCCCCTAATAAAATGATAAAAAAAAAAAAAAGGAGAAAGAATTCTCAAGGAGAAAAAAAAAAAAGCAGTGAGAACTCATGAAGCATATTGTCTCATGGGAAGAGTTGGAGGAAAGTATACTAAGCGAAGTTAGCCAAGCACAAAAGGCCAAGTACAACGTGAGTCTACTGAGGTAAGCTTGAAAAGCACAATGGGCATGGACTAGGATGAGTTACTTAATGCATACTTTTTGAGTCGAGGTCCAGCCCTCTGACAGGTCAGACCAAACCCAGGGATGTACATGGCATCCAAATAAAAAGAAGAACAAAAACAGACGCAAGTAACATCAGGGATGAAAGACATCTTCCCACCTCTCC